CATACGCATTCACACACAAACACATACAAGGACAAAAATATATATATATATATATATATATATATATATATATATATATATATATATATATATATATATGAATATGTGTGTGTCTGCTCACTTTTTGAATTCCTATAAATTCTTGAATTGTTTTCCTTGTTTTTATCCATGCATTAAATTTCATCTTATATTTAATGTCGCCACAGAATACACTTCCCTGCTCACGTGACTCGACTCCGTGTGAGTGTCTCACTTCACCTGCTTGGCCTCACGTTTTCAAAGGACCTGAGGTGGAACAACTGCATTGAATCAATAACTGCATCTTCTGCAAGGACAGTCACTTCATTGTGTCGTGCTATGAAGGTTTTTCTTACATATCTACAAATCTACCCTTCGTCCATGCATTGAATATTGTTGCCATCTATGGTCTGGCTTCCCTGCTGTTTATCTTGAGATTAGTGACAGAATTCAAAGAAGAATCTGCAATGCAATCACTCCTGACATCTCGACTTCAGTCAATCTCTAATACATGTGATGTGGCTTCGCTCTGTCTTTTCTACAAATATTTTCATAGCAATTATTCTGATTAGGTATCTTCCCTGATGCCCCGACTATATGAATTTAAACCTGCTACTAAATTGGCATCTAGACCCACCCTTTTACTGGTGTAATAGTTAAATGCGACCACCACTTCTACTCCAGTAGTATTTTTTCTCGCACTTCCCGACAGTGGAACTAACTTTCTCTTACTTGCTTCACTGGCAACTAAAATCTTCAAAACTTAAAATGCAACGTCAATTGTCATCTTCTGTTGCCGTTATCCTCGTTAATCTTTTATCTTTTCATCAATTCGCTTCTATAGCAATCTTTTCACATTCACTCTCAGTAATTCCCTCTGTGTTAGTGGCTCGCCTTCCTTGCTTGAGGTGAAATGCATAAAAAACATTTTTAATCTCTTTTGTAAGTTAATAAATATTAATCTTTCTTAATGTTGACTATTAATCTTGTTTTCATGTTAGAGTACCTTTTTGAGACATTCAATATAGGTCTATGTCTTTTCCCCTCTGTAGGCAGCTATAATGGTAGACATTAAGAAGAAGTTATGACCAAATGTTCTTTGCACAACCCAGAGGAATTTGTAAAAATCAATGGATTTATTTTTATTTCGATTCTTTTATTAGCTGAAATGCTTTTTTTGTTGGATACCCGTATTTTAAGTAGACACCCTGTTTTTATTGTATATTACATCTATCTATCTCCGTACGCGTGAATTCTTATTAGACGTAACTGATCTAGTAAGACAAACATTCGCCATGCATATATATATATATATATATATATATATATATATATATATATATATATATATATATATATATCAGATAATCGAAGTTTATTTGTGACGCGTCAGGAATAAACGTTCCAGTTTGTCATATTTTTCTAAATAGTGTTTTTTAATATATAAAATTATACAAGATTATATACCGTTATATTATATATATATATATATATTGTATGTGTATTTAGGCAGCATCTTTTCATTCATGCACATTTCATTAAATAATATAGACAAGCGTTGTCTATTTTATGTAAAATATTTTCGTAACATCTAATAAGTTTAATAACATTATCGTTGAACGAAGAAAGAATGATTAATGATTATTAATAAAACGTGCATGAATATATATATATATATATACAGTACGAATCAAAATAAATGGACGCACCCATAGAAAGTCGAATTTTGTATTTTTAGTAAGTCAAGTGAGTAATAGAATTTGTTTATTAGTACAGGGTATTAATACATTTGTATATATGTCAAAAATTGATTTAGTATTTTGTTGGGTAACATTTTGATTTAATAAGGGCCTTAATTCTTCGTGGATGGCTACAGACTAAATTCTTTAGTATGTCAACGTCCTTCGTGAGATTTTTCCAGCATTCCTTTTATTCGCGAAAAAGCTCATATTCTGTGTTAACTTTCTTATTAAGGGCATGTTTGTCCATTAAAGCCCATAGGTTTTCAATTTGCTTAAGTCCAAGACTCTGACTAGGCCACTGGAAGAGTTGCAATTACTAAATTGACTTATTTATTATTTTATTGTTGGTTGGTATTACTACGTTTACTTTGTGTGTGCGTTCGTAGTTTGTTGATTTGTTTATATTTAACTAATTTAGTTTCTTATTCATTGGCATGGATTATTTTATTTCACTTTTATATATAGTCTTAAGGTGTGCTATATTTATGGGATAAAGTGCTCAATATCTGAGATAGAGCGTGTGTAAATATAAAAGTGAACATAGAAGTCAACACTTAGAGATGACACGCTGTTTCATGCTAGACGCAATCGTCTGGCCTTACGATTGCGTCTAGCATGAAACAGCCTGTCGTTTCTAAGTGTTGACATATATATATATATATATATATATATATGGACAAAGAGCCACTCGATGTAGAGCGTTACAGAGTAAGAGGCTGAAATTATGAAAATAGGTTGCGACGATAACTTATCCCTAGACTTCAAAAGATTAGGAGTATTTCGATCGAGGAAGCCTCTTAAGAAAGAACATCCAAGTTGATGGTTAAAAAAGATACCAAGAAATTTTGCCAGTGTTCTTTAGTTTGAACACCAAATCTAACATTTGTGTTTTTGTTCTGTTTTAAGCTACTAAATATCTATCCTTTGCTGTTGTATTAAATAGCTGTAACAAAAATTCCGTAATTAAATAAACTGTACCAAATTTACTGTTTTAACAGCAAACCAAATTTGCACGAAAATATCTTGAAATAGTAAACAATAAATTTATTCAATAAAATCGCCATTGACTTCAGTCAGGGCCTCAAGACAACTTCTGAATCTCCTGCATCTGTTCTGCATGGTCTCCTTGTTTACGTTGCTGAATCCTTGCTATGCAGTCCATCTTCGTTGTTGCAAGTAGTTTTGTTGGTTTGTCGCAGAACAGCGCCCCTGACATAATAATCAAGTGGGTTGCAGTCTGGGTAGATATATTGGTTGATGTGGTCGCAAAAATTGTCTAACAGCCATGGTTGATTTTTCCCGCTTGTGTGGGAAGGTGCAGAGTCTTGTTGCCAGACAGAGTTTTCCTGCAGCCGCGCTCTTGATCCAGGGCAGTACTACCTCCTCAAGGCACTTGATGTAGGCCTCCGTGTTGATTCTGAGGCCATGTGGGAAGATAAATGGAGGCATAACGTCGCCATCACTAGTGATCACTACAGACACCTTCGTAATAATCCTTAGACTCATCCAACTCTTTCCGAATCCTCTACCCTGTCCTTAGATTCACACCCAAACATTCTGAAATGTTTGTATTGGGGATGCTGGCGCCAATGCATTACCGAGTACCGTTTCCAACTTCTGGCGGAGTGAATTGCTACATGTTGCTCTTTTTCTCACTTAATCTGGACTTGAATATGATTTTTGAAGTTACCTACACATATATATATATATATATATATATATATATATATATATATATATATATATATATATATATATATATATATATATATATATATATATATATATGTGTGTGTGTGTGTGCGTGAGTGTGCGTGAGTGTGTGTGTGTTTTACAGGTACGGTAAAAACGAATAGAGTACAAACCCAAAGATCGTAACATTTAATTTAATAGAGGCTCAAGACAGAATAGAGTAAACTATTATTTATTTTAGCATATTAAAACAAAAGCATGCTAAAAATCGCTAAAAAATTACGTTAATGTTTCAACACATATCAATGTTTCTCCTCAGGCGATTGTAAATTAATGGCGAGTGAACGAATAATTCAATTTCAAAAGCAAAATACCTCCTCTTTTTTGAGAAATAAAAAAAAGGCTTGAGGGCTTTATCGGGGTCAACCAATCGAATATTACCTACGTTAAATCAAACTAAGCGAAAAATATTTTTTTAAGAAATGAGTCATGACAGGAAGTTGTCATCAATCAGATCTCAGACATTAGAGCATAGACATATACATAGTTAACATAGTTAAGTTTCTTCTTAAAATGTATACAAGACAATCAACTTTCCCAACAAATAAAAGCGGAGTACGGTAGGGAGGTAATTTAACCTAATTCTAACTAGTTATATACTTTGAGAGTTTCCTACATAATTTTTTGGAGTTGATAAATAAGAGGCCTCTTTAAGAAACTAGTAAATAATTTAAACGTATAGAATTATTTGTCAAATTAATATTCAACCGTTGAGTAATCAGCATCCATATAAGCTGTTAATAATACCATCGAATCAATGGAAGATATTAAAAATACTAACCAAATCCAAGTACATCGATATATGATGTTAATAATACAATCAGGAGATTAAACAGAACTGTATTAAATCTAAATTAATCTTACAAATAGAAAACTAAGTCATATAAAGTGCATCGCAGTTCATATATTAATAAATATAAGAAAAAAGCATTATCAAATTACAAAGTTTAACTAAATTGCAAGGTAAAAGCTAGACTATGTCTACAATTTACCGTTAATTCGCTTCTTTGATTTAATTTCTAATTTTTCATGTAAACACAGAAAACAGGGTTCATATAAATATCTACACGTTCTAGCTATTTTTAAAATTTTGCATCTCACCTTAGGAGTTTTATTAGCATAACAATATATTAGCTTAAAATATTTAGAAAGCTATGTATTATTTCTATAAGTACGAAGGACAAGATATGTTGATACCACCTAGTCTTAAAAGAATTCTTCGTACTACCAATCTGGAATTTTTCAACAGTCGGATTCCCTGTTGATATAGTGAAAGATGCCTTCGCAAAGTTATGCAACGTATTAAGAGACATGAAATTTCATTAAGAAACAAAGAAAAGAGAAACAGAACTGTCATGTAATATCGTTTCACCTGTATGGTAATGAGTGCTGAGCCATCTCATCACAGATGGAGAAGCGACTAGAGGTAACAGAAATTAGGGTCTGCAGGAGGATGCTGAGAATTCCAAGGACTGTTGACGCTGTTAAATGATTTCTCTTCTTCCTTTGCAAGAACAGGCGCGTCTTTCAGTTAAATCTATCTATCTATCTATCTATCTATTTTTGTGGGTGCAAATACCTGTGGAAATGGCTGGGCTCTAACTTCACCTCCAACTATGGATTAGATAGCAGAACTCGTATCTGGCAAAATCATTGCAATTCTCAAAAGATTTTTAAAAAATATTCACACGCAAAAGAAAAACTTACAATTCCCCAAATGTTTTCCGTCTTTTAATAAAACGCAATGGGTTGATAAATCGTAAAAAAAAAATAAATAAAATCAATCATAAAATCATGCCTATAAAATTAAATCTTTTTTCTGACCTTTTCTCAGAACTATTTCAATGTGTGCTGCACTTTGAGAAAGACGAATACGTATTTGAATAATCGATAATTTTATATATGGAATCTGGACGTTGTGTTCAGAAAAAAACCCAGCATCTAAATACAGATAAAGCGAATATTCGACATTGCAGTTCTTCGCCTTCCTTTCTACTACAGGTTATGGGTTAGTTAATGAATTATTATCTTTCCGGTGTCTGCACATATTACTAGCAATAAACCAAATTTAAGCAAATTGTCAGTATCACAAAGGAGGGAAAGTAAAGGAAGAAAACAATAGAAAATGATTATATGTTGATTATCATCTTTCGTACGGTTTTTCGTTTTCAACTGGGGATCTTGCATTATGGGCGTTCTCTCAGGTGTACTACGTCAGACAGTGTCATCCTTTCGCAGAATATTTGCAATGCCAATTATGGTCAACTTCTGAAGCGATTTATATCGATTTTATTAATGTACGAGGTTTCGGGGCCTCAAGAACGCGGACTATTTGGATGTCAAATCTCACAAGATCTTGACTTGGTCGATTTCGATTACCTTCTCGCTGACTTTTCCATGGTGGGTTTCCTATTGTTTCCACGCAAGCATTCAACAAGGGCTAATGATGTAAGTGAGATATTCCACGTTCTTTTATACAGCCTGTGCTTGTCCGAATCCACTTAGTGATAGAAATTTCGGGACAGAATGTGTATTCAGAGGTCGGTCATAGGTGGCTACAGGTGAGCATTCTGTCTTGCGTTTTAAGTCGACTTTAATCAGTCGATCGCCTTAATCTTTTATTTCTTCTTCTTCTTCTTCTGCGTTTTCTTCTTTTTCTTTTCTTCTTCTTTTATCTTCTTCTTTTGTCCTTTTCTTTTCATTATTTTCTTCCTTTTTATTCTTTCTTCTTCTTTTCTTCTTCTTTTGTCATTTTCTTTTCATTATTTTCTTCATTTTCATTCTTTCTTCTTCTTCTTCTTCTTCTTCTTCTTCTTCTTCTTCTCATCTTCCTCCTTCTTCTTTGTATTTCTTTCTCCTTTTTCCTTCGTCTTCTTTTTCCTTCGTCTTTCTATATTTTGTTTTTTTTATTCCTTTTCTTTTCTCTTTAATCTTCGTCTTCTTCTTCTTGTTATTTCTCACAGCATATGATATTGGTTGCTGGTAATAAGTTATTCTGTTTTAACTGAAAAAAAGTTCATGTTTTGTTCTTCCAATTCTTTTCAGAGTATTCTTGCTACTCTGAACAAAGAGGATGAGCGGATGTTGTAATGCATAGCTTCTCGGAATAAGAAATCGTAGAACGGAGTTCGAACTGAAGTAGAATTTCTTACACTCACCTATGCAAAAATACCATTGGGGAAGCTATGAATCTCTCCCCTCATCGTTTAAATATTATGACTTATATGGCTTCAAAAGTAGAACTTGTATGACATCAATAGTAGGACTTGTATATGGACAAATCATTTTTATCTCCAATAAATTCTAAATGCAATATTCGCTCGTAACTAAGAATTACTCTTACTATCCAAAAATAAGTTTCAGCTTTAAATAACCTAAAAAAGAATTGATAAACCGTAAAAAACAAATCGACGTTATAACCAAGCAGGCCCTCGTTTTCTAATTACTCTTTTTACAAATCACAATCCAATATCAGCAATCAGTTTTTTTTTATAACACTCCAATGGTACAATGATCATTACTACTATACTGAACTTTTTTTGCTCTTAACATATAGAATTTTTAAAAGGATTTCATCCCAAGCAAGGCGGGAGTGTCACTAGCACGCAAGGGGTTACAATGAATGGGAGCAAGAGAAAAGAGGCGTGATAGGGGATATTTAGAGATTATAGCTATCAGGGAATGGAGTAGAAGATACGGCTGCATTTAACCCTTTCGACAGTGAAAGGGTGGGTCAGAGATGCCAACCTAAAACCATTGTAGTTACAGATATTGTCCTTTTCTTAGATTCTAATTCTCTCGTCAAATAGGCAGGACACTTTCTCTTTGTCCAGCAAGATTATATTTCATCTATTGTGCTCTAAATTTGTGCCTGTTTATATCCGAATATCGCACAGGATTTCTTATTCTACAGAATTTCCTTCTCCATTCTGCGTACATATTCTTAATACTTTCAAACCCATACATCCAATGAATAATGGCAGCATCATTATAATGTCTCCATTTATTATACTCATTCTAAGCCATAAAATTATATTCTAATACAATATAACTGATAGTCTCATCTCTCACTCAAACATTCTCCATAAGGTTCAAGTGGTGATCTCATGAACCTTTATCCAGAATGTTTATAAATCTCCAGCATAAGCTGTCATTAACAGTCCCTCACATTCCGTCGTCAAGTAAACTCTTCTGATCCATCAGACCTCTATTCTTTTATCTCCCCCGTGTTACTTTCGAGAACTGAAGGAACTTATAAATGAATTTCTTTTTCTATTCCATAGAAAATTCTGTCTTCGTTTTTACAAACTCAGGGTTTCCACTTATTATCTTTTCATTTTTACCTCACGGTATTTTATTATTATTATTATTATTATTATTATTATTATTATTGTGTGTGGTATGATTTAAAGGAGGGCAATTTTAAGTACCTAATTAAAAACTCCCCTCTGGGGGTCTATGCATAAAAAGGGCATTGTAAGAGAGTTTTCTATGCTAGTTATATATTTGGGACCTTTCGTTTAGATGCAAACATTTTTACCGATGATACGTGTTGTTTTTCACAAAGCAACCATTTCTAGCTGTGAGGTTTTTCTGTGCATACCCTATGATAAAACAGGGATAATTGTAATATACAATTTTCATTTTTTTTTTTTATAAATTCGATTAGACGGTACATTTAATTTTGACAGATTTTGAATTATTATTATTATTTCCTATAATTTTTGTTGTACACATTTTTTATCCGGGTCCCAACCTGAGAACTAAGTTCAGGAATGGCTTCATGACATTTTCCACCGATCGTTATTGTAAAGAAACAAACAAAGATCACACATTTTACGGAGATAAAGCTCTCCGTAATGTGTGAGGTGTACTTGTCACTACAATTTTTTATATATCTTTAAGGCATGGGGTAATATTAATCCTTTAAATGAGTCTATCAGAACCATTTCCAATCAGTCCGGGGTCCCAAACTACAACTACAGCTTGAATTATTGATATTCTCATGCGCCATATGTTTGAGATTTCCCCATCAAGATCCTTGTATTTCGATAGTTTTTAAACATTTTCAAAGAGGCATCACAATCTGCAGCGACTGCCATGTCAATAAGAAAGCACATTCTGTCATTGTCTTAGCGATTAGCTTTGATTTTTTCTTTCTGTATCTAATGTAAATTCTCATAAAATTGTTACAGGTCCTATCTCGATAACCGGGTCTGTGTAATGTTTATACTTGTTTCTTGCATTTTCCTGTGTTTCAGATTTTCCAGTGCGGATACTGGCCCACTCTATCACGCCGAGTTTTATTTCATTGAGTTCTAACACCATGCAACCTGATACAAGATGGTCAATTGTTTCTGGATATTTATCACAGAATCTACATTTGGGATCAAAATAATTTTTCAGTAGGTGTAGCAGGAATAAAGCTCTCGGTTTCAGCTTTTAACCCTGTACGACGTATCCACTGATGGCTATGGCATTTGTCAACATCAGCTTGTTTGGTACAGGCAAAATACTAACCATGAAGAGTCTTATCTTGCCATTGTATTTACATGTGGTATATTGCATCTGCTTTTGCTTTCTCGTTTAGATTATTATTATTATTATTATTATTATTATTATTATTATTATTATTATTATTTCCTTTGATTTGGGTCCCGACTAGACACGTAACGTCAGAAATGGCATCATGTCATTTTCTAATGAGTTGTTTTAAAAAAAATAAACTCAGGCTTATTTTACGTAGATAAAGCCCTTCGTCAGTTGTGACTACAATTTTTATTTTATATTTCTTCAAGGCACGGGCTGCCAGGAATTCCTTCAATGAGTCTTTTGGAATCTTTTCCAATCAATCCAAGGGCTCCAACTACAAATGGAATTATTCATGTTCTCATGCGCCACATTTTTAAGATTTCGATTTCAAGGTCCTTGTATTTTGATAGTTTTTTGTGCCATGTCAATAAAAAGGGACATTTTGTCTTTGCGATCTCCACTCAGGATGTCACGGCGATTAACTTTGACTGGTCTGTCTGTGTGCATTATAAAGTCCCATAAAATTGTAACAGGTTCTATCTCCGTAAACGGGTCTGGGTAGTGTTCATACTAGTTTTTTGCAGTTTCCTTTCTGTAATTGTTGTAGATTTTCCAATAACAATGTCAGGTCGGTTGGCTTTGATTGTTCTGTCAGTGTGTATTGTGTAGTCCCATAGAATTGTAACAGGTCCTATCTCCGTAACCGAATCTGGGTGGTGTTCATACCTTATTATTATTGTTATTATTATTATTATTGTTGTTTGTTATTATTATTATTATTATTTTTATTATTATTATTATTATTCCTTAGTTATTAATTTAGCATGTTACGTCCTAACAACAAGTATAAAAACTGAGAAGACATATCAGAGATGTTCTTTGGTTTCAGTATGAAAAAGAAAGAAACATTGAATGAATGAATGAATGAATGAATGAATGAAAGAAAAAAAATGAAGAACGAACAAAAAAGAAAGCGCTGACAATAGTGTTCTTATTCGTTTAAAATCCGCTTCAGTAAAAAAAAAAAATTCAATTTCAAATCTTTTCATTGTTATCCTCTTACTGTTTTCAATAATTACCAGTAATTTAACATTTTTATTGCAATATTTTGTTAAAGTTGTTCAGCTCAAATATTTAATGATGCGATATTGGAATTTTCACAGGTATTTTCTAGTCGTGGAACTCGCAAGGTGATTCTTCAATCATTAAACGAAGACTTAAGACGCAACAAAATTTAAATTTGAAATTGTCACAGATATTACTGGTTATTACGGTTATTGAATGTTTGTTCTTTTTAGGAATGAACTGTTCGACTATCCATATACGTAATTTGACTATAATAGCGAAAGCTTATCTAGAACCAAACACTTTTTTGAAGAACTGAATACAGAGAAATATTAACCAATGTACAACGAAGTCTATACACAACATTCCACAGGTTTTAATTCAGTATTTTCCTTCTCATTCCACAGGTTTGAATTTAGAATTTTCCTTCTCCTTCCATCAACTTGAATTCACTATTTTCCTTTTCATTCCACAGGTTTTAATTCAGTATTTTCCTTCTCCAAGACTGGGTGCCACCCACGGAAAAAAGAGCCCAATCTGCCTTGATTACTAGGGAGAAATGTATTCATGCCTAGCGCGATGTGAACGAAACGAAATCGGCCCGGTGATTTCATTTTCCACGTCGATATTTAAAAAAAATCTAAATGTACTTCCCCCCGCCCCACACTAATTCAAATTTTCTTTTGTTGTCATCTTGTTCTGCATGATTAACCATCCTTAATTCCAATTAATTAAGAAATATTGAAATAAAAATTGCGGCATTTTCATTTTCCTTTGAAAAGAATTAGATGAGTTCTTTTTAGTTTAATTATTAGATTAAGGCAGAACAGATGAGAACATTTTAAATGGGCTTCTCGTTTAAAAACAGGAGCTGTTATGTATTAATTAGATCTTACTTAACTGGCATATATGCCAATAGGCTGTAATCAGTTAATAATTTATGTTTGTTAATAGCACGACACTTACTACTTTAAACTGTTTCACAAATAGGTTTGTTTTTAAAAAATATATATGCTACCTTCATCGTACTAGCTGTTGTGCGGTCCTATTGACACATAGACATTATCTATCTATCGATCTATCTATCTATCTATCTACATCTATCTATCTATCTATCTATCTATCTATCTATCTATCTATCAAGCTATTTATATCAATCAATCTATCTATCTATTTACATCTATCTATCTATCTATCTATCTATTTCAATCAATCAATCTATCTATTTACATCAATCAATCAATCTATCTATCTATCTATCTATCTATCTATCTATCTATCTATCTATCTATCTATCTATCTATCTATCTATCTCAATCTATCTATGTAATCTAATATACCCGTATTTAATTTATATTCGTATGTGTGTAATATGATGCCGGAAAATACATTCCACTCGATTCATAATAGACGACTAAAAAATCCACGCGTATCAGGGAATTGACAAGTAATCAGTTTCAGCCAAGGGATGGTTGATCCCCCCACGCACCCGGCTTGCAGGTGAGTGGGGAGATTTGTGATAAACTCGTTTATATAAATGATAGTCTCAGAGTGTCTGGGACAGTCTTTCACACATCACAGTCAGAGAATGTAATGACCACGTTTTGGATACTTGCCTAATCACACTTGACGGGATCATTTGACAGGAGATGAATGAAATGTCATGTCAAGTAGTAAATATTCAAGTATCGAGTTCTCATTTCACCGGCATACCCATTTTATTATACAAATATATGTGTATATCTATCTATGCGGGGGAGGTCAGGTTAAGAGAAACAATGAGAACAATATGAGTATATATATATATATATATATATATATATATATATATATATATATATATATATATATATATATAAAAAAACTGATGGCTAAAATCTAAATTTTACTTCTTTAATAGATGATTGCTTTGGGTCTTGGTGTCGTTGTCGTCTTTGGGTTAATTGCTAAAAAGACCTCACCTTTTTATCTTCTAATCTCTAGGAGACAACATCCTACTACTACTACTACTACTACTACTACTACTACTACTACTACTAATAATAATAATAATATTTATTCTTGACTTTTTAATCATAAGTTCCGAATGCAGAAGTCATATTGCGTCTCCTCGACGACAGTCTATCAACGGCGGCCATATGCCATATATAGTCATACTTGTCCATTATTTGACATTATCCAACCAGTTTTTGCTTTGGTCTCCTCTCCTACGTCCGCCTTCAACGGTGCCTTTTATGATTATTTGGCACAGGCTGTCGTCCCCTGTAACGCGTACAAACTACGCGATTTTTCTCCGTTGCATTTAATTACATTTAATTAAAACCGTTTATCTTTTTTTATAAGTCAATGAACACAGCATGTATTGTCATTTAAACAATGGATACATTTCTGGGGATAAGTCTCTTCCTTGAGAAAACACTCGTGTTCATCGTGATAGTCAAAAATTAAGGGTATGCTCGGCGGTGATGGAACGTTACTAGTTTGGTTATAGAGGTATTCAATGTGAGTAGCTAGTTTGTCCCTATTGAACTGTACGATCTAGCAAACGTGTATATACTTGTAAAATCTTGGATAGGATTTTCAGTGGTACATACCTTTCCTTTTTAGCTCCTCCTTTCTAGTTTATGAGGCAGTGAAATCAGAAAGGCATTTCGTTTTCTTCTTGGTAGATTTCGTGTTAAGAGGAAAATTTCAGAAGCTGTTTTTGGAAAATACCTTCAAATATATGCTTACATAACATAGAACAAACGGTATAAGCGAAACAGCAACTGGAAGTGAAAACCTCAAAGGAAGACATCAAAATAAAAAAAAGGAAGTATTCCTGCATTGTGATCGACGCACGTCTTCCTGAAAGAAGAAATTGATTTTTCAGATAAATACGATCTCAATTTCTAACCAATTAAAAGCTTTCTTGCTTCTTTTTGCTAACATAGAAGATTTAACTCTCTGTTCGCGTTTTTACCGGATTTTTTTTTCCTTCCTGACAGTCGTCATTAAAATATCCGCTAGAAAACAATCTAGGCCGACGTAAATCACAATTCAAGAAACCGAAAGGGAATGTGCGTGATTGACGTCAGTGTCCGTCGCGTGACCGGTCTTGGCAGGGAAAAAAGAATTTGCTGCACGCATTTTGGACAACCAAAATTCAAACTAGATACGTTTCATAATCACCGAGCAGACACAATGAATTTTCGGCTATCGACTATCGCGATGAACGGGTGTTCTCGTAAAGAGGTGCTTTGCCTCGTCCGCCTACTGGAACTCGCCTGAGATCTTATGCGGAATTCGTATATATGTAGAGACATTGCGTATTATTTATTTGTTTATATATCTATTGTTCTATTGAAAGTTACATATTAAATACATTGACACATGGCACAGCGAATAATTTAATGTTTAATTCCTTTTTCGTAACACATTTAATGTTTAGTATAGAGCTTAGAAAAAATTCGCTGTGTGAGATAGGCAAGAAGTAAGGCATGTAGCAACATCAGCACGGCAAAGGGCACTCCTTTAAAGGCAAGTAAGGGCAAAAATATTTTAAGTCAAGTGATAGCGATTGTTGTATGAGTCGTACGATTTTTGAATCAAGCACGTGCAACGCCGAGCCATGATGCTAATTTGTTTATATATCTATTTTTCTATTTCAATATGAAAGTTACATATTAAATACATTGACAAGGACACATGACACAGCGGATAAAGGCGTTGGTTGGATCCAGTGACAGGACCCAAAGAGTGTGACTTCAATACCCATTTGAGGCAGTGGAGAATTTGGAGAGGGGAATTAACAGGACATAACTGATAACTGACATCTATTAGACATGGCACATGGAACTAGAACCCCGGTGAGCGAAATAAAGGGTCAGTTCGACATTTCGACCACCTGAAGAAGGCCGGAGCATACAACGGCCGAAACGTTGTAATAAATATGGCGACAAAGATGAGGAAAATAGTCCGAATAATGTAAATAGTGTACATAATACCTCATCTCAGAAATATGGACAGATAAATACATTGGATATTATCAGAAAAATATATTAAAATAAAAGTAAACTTATACAAAGGATTTACAAGTTTGCTGTTTGTTTACAGATTACGTTTAATGGAATCAATTTCAACTCACTCAAGGTGACATCATTTAAAAGATCAAATGTATTGCGTAACTACACACAAAACAAGCTTGAAAATGAATGGAATATCATTCAAAAGTACTCTGGAAAATAATATAAAATAAAAGTTCATATGAATTTAGTCAAACTTTCCGATAAAACCAAACAGCTTATTCGAATTCGAAACTTTGAAAGATTTAATAAAAAAAACAACGAGAGGATGATCTTGTCCATATTATTTAGGAAAACGTGTTTGTGAGACTTCTTGCTGCTGAAATATACCTGTTATATATATATATATATATATATATATATATATATATATATGTGTGTGTGTGTGTGTGTGTGTGTGTGTGTCTTGAACAATAAAAAAATGATGTTAAAAATTTAAATTTCAGTCACACTGGATTGTATATTAATATTTTGTTTTATTTTTTAAAATTAGGCTCCTCGACTAATTTCGGACAGTATGGCCATCATCAGGAAAATGCGCCCGTATATAGTCGTATCATCGGTATAGGCTTTTACAGATGATCTGAGTATATTCTGAAGCAGATCATTTATGTAGATCAAAAAGAGTGTTGGTGTATAAATAATGATCTGGTTCCCCCAAACACAATATATATAGGTTGTCCATAAAGTTCGTGTGCACTTTAAAAAATTTATAACTTTATTTGTATTTGGGATAGAAATAATTTGTAAAAAGGATTAGAAAGAAGTATATCTATATATTTTAAAGTTTTATTGAAATTTTATTTAAGTTTCCACATGTCCTCCATCATTAGCAATACAAAGGCTAATACGATTTTGCAGTTCACGAAAAACATTTGCCAACTGATTTACAGTAATGCCTGAATTCACATTAGTTATTAGGCTAAACTTAAAACAAACTTTATAACATTTTTTACAGATTATTTCTACCCCAAATACAAATAAAGTGCACACACTTTATGGACACCCTGTATATATATATATATATATATATATATATATATATATATATATATATATATATATATATATATATATATATATATATATATGTGTGTGTGTGTGTGTGTGTGTGTGTGTTGAACAATAAAAAATGCTAAAAATTAAAATTTCAGATACAATGGGTTGTATATTATTATTTTTGTTTTATTTTTAATTCAGGTTCCTCGACGACATTCGACCAGCATGACCAACATCAGGGAGAAAAAAATCATGCTTGTTAGTATCAATGAACTAAGAGGATTTATGACTATCTCTGATGAAGGTGAATTTAGTTTTCATCTGATTTTTATCGGTAATTTTTGCTCAGTCCCTGTATTAGTCAAAAGGCCTCTTTCAAGTTTTTTTTATGGAGAGACTGGAAAATTCACAAGTCTCAGATTTACCCCATTAGTCATTCTGACACATTTATTGGTTGCTGGTTAGCAAATGTGTGTGTTATCTTTTAGTTTTTGGTGGTGTGCGTGATGTGTGTGTGTGTGTGTGTGTGTGTGTGCGTATATTTGTTTGAGTGTGTGTATGTGGGAGACCTCAGCACCACTGCAAGTATGTGGTTGAGAAATAGGGATCGAGTTGATCTATGGGATTCTATGTTAATTCAATTTGTGGTGTTTATTCTGTTGTTAAGTTCGTCAAGACAATGTGTTTTCAGCTGCAAAATCCATTTGTCTTCATGGTCTTCTCGTATTCTTCTAAGTTTAGCTTTTGTGTTTATTTCTATGCTTTTATTAATCGTGAATTGTGCATGGATATTACAATCATGTTTTACTAGTCACGAAAGGTTGTTATACAGGTAATAATCTTTCGTGGAGAGCCAACTTAATACGAATACGATAAGTCCTAATTCAGTAGGTCCATTAAGATTTTCTCATATTTTCTTTCTGGCATAGTGTGCATTCTAATAAGTAAATTATGTTATTACTTCTACAGTTAGAGTGTGGCAGATTTCGTACGTAGTTTTCGTATATATATATATATATATATATATATATATATATATATATATATATATATATGTATGTGTGTGTGTGTGTGTGTGTGTGTGTGTGTGTGTTTTGTGTGTTTTTGGCAGAAATTTCTCTTTCATATAACTTTCATTAAAGACGACTGACAAAGTACTTTTATTCAATTTTTCTTCTGTCCTTATATATGATTTCCTTTGTGGATATACATTGTATAAAAACTGTGTAAACGTTTGCTTGGATATCATTTATTATTCATTAACATTTTTCA